AATCTTAATGTTTTCCAGCCTGGTCTTACTCTTCTTTCCTTTGAATCCATGTCTTCCTGTTCCTTGTACCATTTTTTCTTGAAGACCTACTTTCTGCTCCTTTTGGCCTGTGGTTGTCATAGTCGAATGTGTTTGCCTTTGATGTATCTCATATCCTGTATCATAGTACTTATGTTCTCCTTTATCCTGATTGCTCCTTCCTCCCCAAGAACTCAATAGCTCATGAGGGTAGTTTTGCTTTCATGCAGATCTCCCATTTATATTCCCATTTTGGTCTATATCATCTACTGTGCCCCATCTGGGTTGGGTTCTCAGGTGGCACACACACACAGCTTCATTCTGTGGTTTCCATTTTCAACACTTTATTCACTGGATTCCTTCTTCCTCTCATGACCTTTTCCTGATTACACTTACAGGTTTGGTTCGCCAACTTATTGGTTTGGCTTATTCTTCATTGTCCTCCAATTTCTGTTGTCTTTCCCAGGTCTCCTCACTCATTTCCATCACTGCACACTTTAGTCACCAATTATCTTCATCATTTGGCCATCTCCTCCTCAACTAGATACTGTCTGCCCCCTGTTGCCCTCTTGCACTCTTCAGTTTGACTATGAGTGGGTGTTTCCTATTCATTTCCTTATACCTTACAGTGACTCTGTGCTTCAGTTTGGATCGTGTTTTATGGTGAATGGTGCCTGTCCAGGTATACTTTTTGGTTTGTGATCCTCCATCCTGCCTCCTGGATGTCAGTTCCCAGGGAATCTGGTTTTGGATGTGAGCTGGATCAACCATCAAATCTGCACCATGGGACTTTAAGGTCTATAATACCCACCATTGAGATGGGGTGTTCTGCAAGACCGCTAGTAGATTTATCTTTGCAGTATATTGCATTATAACTATGCTCATCCGAAACCTCATGGACTATCATGAGTAAAGCAGGGAGGGGATTGCTGCCAATCTCTCTATTCCTAGTTGAATACTTCAGGTTCAGCCTACTTTTCAAAATAGGGTTTCGTGTTCATCCATTGTAATTTCTCCAGTGATGCATTCCTCTGGACAATTCCCCCTTTTCTAATGGAGTACGGGAGTTCTTACCACTTACCATCTCCTAGCTGCTGGAGGCTTCCCCCTGAGTGTGCTCAATCCCACTTAATTGAGAGTAAGATGGTGGTGTTCTGCCAGTGTAGTTGGTGTGTATTCTCCTTCTACTGCAGACCTGATGTACAACTCCAAATGCTATCTAGTTATGGACTGGGTGAATTTACCACATGCAATTCACCCCTTTGGTGGAAACCTTCCTTCCTACCACCTCCTGGTTGTCAGTTTCTAGGTGCACTGGTATTGGTTGGAGCTGGATCAGCCAACATAAGTCCTCACACATGTAGCTGGGACCCTCTTCCTATCACAGACTGGATGATACATTCCCAATGTCACCTGGTTTTTGACTGGAGTTGACCCTCCATGTTGCATTCCACTTTCCTTCTGTTGCCCGAATTTCAGGTTCCTGGATGGCGTGTGTAGGTTGTGCATTAGGTCTGTTCACATGTGCTGGCATGGATTTTTGGAATGGAAGTTCTGCTTCCTTTCTGATTCCTGGGCCTGTGGTGAAGACAGTTGGGACCCTCCTTCTGTCCTGGGCCAGATACTCCATTCTCAGTATCATCAAGTTTAGGACTGGAATTGACCTACCAATTATAGTTTGATGCACCCTAGCCACACTATACCATTAGCATGTGCACTTTATTGTATGTGCTTCTTTCTGCCCTTTTTGTGATACTTCTTCACTACAGGTAAAGAGTATATCTGGTACAAATGTGATGCAGTCTCCCATGGATGTGACTACATCAATTGAGGTTTCACACTCCATGGGCTTTCTTCAGATATTTTCTGAAGAGTGCTCATCTAAGTAACTTTGCACTGGTCCCTCCACTTTTTCAATGTGGGATTCTAGCTATTATGTGAAAGGATGTAAGGTATTGTATTGATAGTTAACATTTTCCTGCACTGAAAATGTATCTTCGATAGATACTTACCTTCTCCCCACTTCCGATGCTTACTTTTGCTTAATCTTGAAGTGATAATTGGGTTCTACAGTATAGAGGGAATCAGCTGTGCCAGGAGGATGTGTTGCATGCTAATGTGCATGCTACAATGCAACTGTGCCAGGAGGATGTGTTGCATGCTAATGTGCATGCTACAATGCAACTGTGCCACATGCAAACACATGGAGATAGGTGGGATCACAAGGTTAGTGGCAAGTGAAAATGTGTGCATATAGAGGGCAGTAAATCAAATCAAATTGTATGTGCTAAGTAAGTATGGTAATCATCAAGAAAAGCTATTATGTGAGAGAGGTAAGTATCTATTGGAAATACATTTTCAGTGTAGGAAAATGTTAACATTTCATGTATGTCTGTGAAAATTTACATTTTTATGGGCTGCTGTTTGATTTAAGTTGTATGGAGACTTAAATACATTGTTTAATTGATTGGTAATTTTCACTCTGCTTTTCTTCTCTTTTACACTTAGGATCATTTTAATAGTCAGGTTCTCTATCTTCTCCAGCATATTGTCATTATTATTTTTATAAATGGGGTAACAGAATTGAACACAATATTCTGAGAGACATAATAAATTTAGAACAATATAATTACCTTTCAGATAAAATCTTCTGTAGAGCCATTTGTCTTGTATTACTTCTAAACACTCAGCCAAATAGCTTTAGCATCATGCACATGATCACACTCAGCTTTTTCTCCTCTACACAAATGAAACATATTTCATGATTAAAATGTTAACTTTTTTCCATGTTCCATACTTAAGTTGCATGACATTATTCTTCTCATTTCTATATTCATAAATATTCTTTCCTGAATTAAAGAAACATTACCATCAATGTAGACCTTAGAGTTATTTTTGTTGTAGTGAAGTAATAATAAGTTTTAAAGTTTATTACAAGGAGATTGGTTACAAGGGATGTTGCAAGATAAATCACACGTTTTTCCCTGAATTAATGATGAACTTGGTAGGACCATGAATATCATCACTTGTGAGAAAATGTCATTTCAATGTACTCTTGGGTGTTTGACTCTTTGAATTTAATTTTTTGGGAAAACTTTTGAATCATGGTGCTCACTAGAACTCAGGTTTGTGTCACATATGCTGCCTTCAGGATGGCTTAGAAACTAGTCGCAGACATGCTCCGAGAATTCAAATCTTCCAATCGACACATTGCAATGCCAGATTTGAAAAATCTGATTAATGCCTCAAAAGTTTCAGAATTTTTGAATTTGAAAGAGTTGTCCATGAAAAAGTGGTGGAATGTGGATTGGGAACGATCTAGATTTAAATCCCTCCGAAAATGTCTGAGCTTTCATTCAACAATGCACAGAAGAAATGTTGGAAACTTTGCCTGAATGCAAAAGACACAAACGTGAAACCTTGATTCGTATTCTCACCGATGTGCTCACAGAGACAGTCACAAAAACAGACATGTTTGTAGCATTGCTGAAATCTTTTGCAAATCGATTAAAACTCGTGTGTGAGAACAATGGTGGCCCAATCGAGCAATATTGATACTTAGAATTATTTTTTTAATTGAATTAAAATCATATTTTACTTTGTTATGTTCTTGGGGAAAAAGTGTGATTTATTTTTCAACACCCCTTATTAACAACTTAAGTGTGGACAACAAGGACTCCTTGGCCCTTCAAGGCTGTTCATTTGAACACACTATCAAGAAAAAGAAAGTTAAAATTAAACTTACTTTTAATTTTAACTTTATCATTAATTTTTCTTCTTAAGCTTTTGTAAGATGTCAACCCCATTGTTGCTGATGGTAACTCATTCCATAAGTTGGTCTCTAGAGAAATAGAAGGTTCTTAACAAGAGCCTGTCTTATCCTGACCTTAAACTTGTGTCCTCTTGTCTTTTTATTTTGAAAATTGAGCACAAAGAAATCAGAAACTTTTATCCTATCAATTTTCTATTACTCTTCTTTTATCAAGAAAAAACAAGTTAAGAAGTTTTACCTATCTCCAGAATCATTCTAGCTAGCCTTCTGAATCTGTTCTTAGCTAAGGAAATCAAGAGTGCACATTTGATTCCAAATAAAGTATTATTAGTGATTTGTGTAAAGAGATAATTACTTTGATTGTCTTTCAATCATTATATCTATAAATACATCCTAAAATTTTGTTGACTTTACTACAAACAAGAGAATGTAGCCTCATTGGCTTGAGTGACTTATCTTTCGCGTTGCTAAGATCGTTTTGTTAAATCATGCTATCGTGTGGGTCCTTACTAGTAGTAAACATGTCTCTAGTAACCCAATAAGGTTTGACCTCTCTTGTTGTTTTCCTATTTGTAGGATCATGTCTGTCTTGAAGTAAAACTAAATGTTTTTTGAAAATTTCCAAAATCTGTTCCATGTCACCTTTTAACTCATTGTCTGAAAGTTGACTTTCTGAAAATTCGGAACTAAAATCTCATTGCTTTTTACCTCAACATGTAGCCAAACATTGAATATGATTGTGCAATGATCACTCTTCCCTAAATGTTTCCCTACTTCAACATTTACAGTAATATTCTCATTAATAGTTTATCATAAATCTAAAATGGTGTCCCTTCTCATAGGCTTTCTGACCATTTAGATGAGAAAAATATTAATCATCAGGAAATCTCTCTCACTCACTATTTGACTCCATTCAGTGCCAATCAGTGTGTCTAAAATTAAAGTCTCCCATAATGTATTATGTACATCTCTTTTAGTCTGTTGCTATGCACCTATTTTTTAAATAAAAGTTGTGTAAACTGTTTGTAAATATAATGTAGGTTGTGACCGATATTGACATTTTTGTATGCTAGCATAAGATGTAATGTTTACCCAAAATGTCTTAAGTTTTCATTGTAAATAAGCATCTTGGATGTGTTCTTTGTCACATATTATTCTGTCTTGTTTAAATACAAACATATTATTAAGTATGTTAAATGATCTTTTATAGCAAAATGTAGTTGTACCAAGTACTTCTGGAACAAGTTCATCTGGAGCATTGTTTCCTCCAACCCCAGGTCCTCCTATGACACCCATGACTCCTATAACTCCTTCATCAGCTGATCCTGGCATTGTACCACAACTACAGTATGTAATCATTCTATGTATATAAAATATTAAAATCCACAAATGAACAGTGTTTTATAATACACAATTAAAATCTTTATTTAAACTGTTCAACTGTTGTAAAAGTCACTCTACATGTTTCAACATGGTTTTACATCATCTTCAGGTGTGTGAAAAACAGTTACTGTGTGTTATATAAGTACAAAAGCCATGGTCATGTGACACTAGTTTATAATTCAAAAAATAAAATCATGCCAGCTACATATTTTCTGATTTTCTAACCCTTCATTTCTATTTAAGATAAAGTTGTTTTTGCAGTGTTTCATTATTTCATTGGTTTTTCTAATATTTCTAGCAGTCATATTATTCAGTTGAGCCAAAATAACCATTTTTTCCCTCTGGATGATATGTCCAGTGTAATTTACATGTTCAGCTAATGCAGTTTTCACTTTTATTTTCAACATTTCTCTCATGTTTATTTATTCTAATTTTAAGTTTCTTCTAGTTTGACCAATGTATGTATGACCACATTCACATTGAACTTTATATACATATTTGTTTTCTCAATTATATTTATTTCATCTTTAATTTTATTTAGTATTTGATTAATCTTATTCAATGGTCTGTAAATGGCAATAAGATTTTTGTTTTTGATTTATGAAAAATTTTACATGATAAACCTAGGATATATGATAAAAACGACGTTTCTTTTTTATCTATTTCTTCATGGCTATCAACAATATGAGGTGAGAAACCTCTATCTAATGCTACATGTTTAATAAGTAGCAGTTTATTTTTTAAATATGCTGAATTAGAACATAATTTTAAAGACCTGTAATCACAAGAGTGAAAAAGCTGACATTTTTTGCGACTTTGGGTGACATGATTCTTGGTGTTGCTCAATCGAATAATATGACTGCTAGAAATATTAGAAAAACCATTGAAATAATGAAACTCAGCAAAAACAACTTAACCTTAAATATGGATGAAAGGTTAGAAAATCAGAAAGAATGTAGGTGGCATGATCTTCTTTTTTGAATTATAAACTAGTGTCACATAACCATGGCTTTTGTACTTACATAACATATAGTAACTGTTTTTCACACTCCTGAAGATTATGTGAAACCACATTGAAACATGTAGAGTGACTTTTACAACCATTGATCGGTTTAAATAAAGCTTTTAATTGTGTATTATAAAACAATATTTGTTTGTGGATTTTAATATTTTAAATATAGACACAAGTTCCTTGTAATTTAACCTATTAATATCATTCTATATCTTTATATAGTATTGAAAACAATACAAATTAACTGTAGATTTAAAGTGTTGTAAAGAAGTTTCCCGAAATTGCTTCTGTGATGCTCTTTGGAGTATATTATTGTTTAAAAGATAAACTTTTATTAACAAAGTTGCAAATTTTATGTTGGCATGGGTTCTTATTGTCAGGTTAACTTAAGATTTTAAGTAAATTCATGCAACTTGATGTACAATATTAAAGCTGTTTGTTTAGGAGTAATACTTAAAATTAATTTTATTTTGATTGTTTTGAAAACTAATGTATTTGTTAATTCTGGGAGGGAAGAGAGTAATGATTGGCAAAAGTACTGAGTAAAAAAAGTTCCAAGATTATCTTTCATATTAATTATATTGTTATAGCTGATGGTGTAAGTTAGTGATGAATCTCTTGTATGCTCACTGAGGAAAGATATTCATGATTTCAAGATTGATGTGTTTTGTTTGTCATTATTTTGGTATGTGTGTTATAGTTATGTTTTGTGTATGTAACATTAAACTAACATCATAATCAAATTTTACTTTTTGACAAAAAAAGATTTTCTTCAGTTAATTCAGAATTTTTTTTTTTAAGAAATATTGTTTCAACAGTTAACCTTGTCTGCAAGTTAGATCTTAAGAAAATTGCTCTACATGCTCGAAATGCAGAGTATAACCCAAAGCGTTTTGCAGCTGTGATAATGAGAATACGAGAACCAAGAACAACAGCTTTAATCTTCAGTTCTGGAAAAATGGTGTGCACAGGTGCTAAAAGGTATTATTAAAAATTAACTTTTACCATATCATTGATTATTCTGTTATAATGTAACTATCCAGTTAAATACTGGTGGTTGCTGTACAGCTGAGTAGCCATAGTTTTATTCAAAACTTTTAATTTATCTGTGCATGCAGAAACAACTTTCTTTGACATTTTTACTGTTAGGCTGAGCCTAACTCTTGTCACTCCCATTTATCATTTTGTGATGTTCATGTAGTATCCAGATGATTTATTATAGGATCTCATTGTAGACAAAACCTCTCCTCCATATAATAGCACTTTAGTTTATGTTTGAACATAGTCAGAATATGACTAGCCTACATCTCTTATTTTAGATTGTCATGTATTTTTTAATAGTTCTATAATGTGGAGTTATTTTCATATATTTTGTGTGTTTATTTTTGTAATCTTTTGTAACCATTTTAATTTTTAGTCATTTTTGGATAAGGATTTCCTTTGTTCATTGTTATCAGTTGTAATTTAATTGAGTGACTTCTTTTAATTACTATTTTTTTGTCACCTCCTTTGATTTAATAGTTCTATGTTGTCTTTTTTCTTTTTTATTCCACATATTTTGTACTTTTCTGAAAACCCATTGCTTTACAAGAAATGCATTTATTGTGCAAGCTCTACTCTTTGTATTTTAAGGATTTTTTTTATTTATTATTTTTGAAGTGAGCAGATGTTGTTCTGGCTCCCATGCCAGTGGTTTCTGTTTGCCAAGAAATCATACCTTTATCCATTTTCTTCTTTCTTTCTGTACTTGGACTTTAAGGAGAGTTGATTGTATGTTTTATCAGTTAGTTCACTTTTCACGGATCATTCTAATGCACAGCTATGGATGTGTCATGTGCAAGCCACATGTTGTTTATTAGTCTGTAAAGGATAAGTCCATGGTTCTAGTTGAAGATATTCCACTTCCTGCACTTCTTATTAGGGTGATATGTTGAAAGGTTTTGTGACTTTCAAAGAGTTCCACATTCCATCACCTTCAGTATTTCTCCATTTAGTGGCTTTTCTAAGACATTTTATTTCAGAGACAAAGAGTTAGTTGGGGAAGGGAGTCCAATGCTATTAAATATGAAATAAATGGGTTATTTTGCATTAAAGAAGTGATTTAAATTTCATGCTACCTGTACTCTTTATGGTATGCTTCTTTTACATTGTTCTTATTTACTGTGAATTCTATGATGTATGGTTTGCATCCTAATGCCACAAAACTGCACCTACACGTGTATGTATTAGAAAAGTGATGGTCAATTTCCACTATTCTGTTTGATTAGCCCAATAGTTGTAGTTTATCATTTCAAAATTAGAAATGGCTAGTACAGATAGCTCTTTTGTAGCTTTGCAAGAATATCTGAAGCAAACAACAAACTCGTATTTAACACCATTGAGCCTGAATAATATCTTAATGGAGATAGCCACTTTCAAAATGGTCTTACCTCAGATCATCCAGAGCTATCTCGATCCTGGACTGCTCCCTAAGCTAACAGCACACCAGTTTTTTATACCCCATCAGTTTCATGTCATTTCAGTATATTTGCTAATCATGTGATTACCTTCCACCAATCATCTAGACTAGTGAAGCTAGCTCCCTCTATTACTATAGAACAATCCTCACTTTCTCGATTGACTTTCTAGTGTGTAGATGTGTGTTTTTAACTTACTCTCCATGTCAGTACAAAATTTTGATTGTGCTTGATCACAACTTTATACCAGTTTCAACTTCTTATGTTTGATTTCCATTGTTTCTACTTGTTTGTTTTAGAAATATTTCTGTTTTTCAAGTTCTAATTTGTTCATATGAATTTGAGATTTAATATACCAGATGAGAAATTCCCATGACATTTGACAATGATCTTTATGAATCCCCAGGTTTCAGGGTCGACGATGTTGGCTAGGGAAGTACAGGCTTTAGTTCACAGGGGATTCGTGTCTTACATTTAGCCAACAATTTCTTCCTTTCACATTAGAATATTTTCTGAGGAAGGATATAACTACTGAGTGGAAATTTCTTTCTTCTGCACCTTCCACCTGTTCCCATGCCTCTGTGTAATCTCCTGGGTTAGGATTTGTTCTTTTTCCCAGGAGATCTGTAATAATTTTTCAGCATATATTCTTCACTCCCTGTAGGTATACCCATGTTTAGCGAGTTTATATGAGCTTGTAGGGATTGATCTAATTTCCTCACACAATAATTTAAGTCTTGCATGTTTTCTCTGCTCAGTATTTGGTAAGTTAGATTTTTATAATTCTTTTACCATCTAAGTTACTTTAGTTTAAATTATCAGTTAGAGTTTGATTATTACTTTGTTTTTGTTTAATTTTCAGTGTATGTACGGATTTTGTACAGTAGTTACTGTTTAGGTAATTGTAACTTCAGCCAATTTTGTGGGTGTGTTGGTTCATTATGTATGCTTTTTTTTCTGTTTATGTTTGTTAGTTTGTAAGTTCCTTTTTTCTTTACTACTAGCCACATCTAATGGGGATTAGATTTGAGTCAAATTTTGTTATTGTTAACTGGGTGCCTTTTCATTCTCATGTTCTTCAGGGTAGGTTTTATTTTCATGTCCTTTCTCTTATCGGTTCTTTGAGTGAACTTATCAGTTTGATATTTACATGTCTTTTATCTTCTAAGTTCCTTTAGTGGTTTTGTACTTTAGGTGTTGCTTATTGTTTTATGTTTGTGCTGCTTTTTGTTTTATGTTTTATATTGAATTTCATAGTTTTGGGACTTGACCACAGTGGGGGGCTTTTCTTGATTCCTGAGATATTTCTGATCAGTGGTCAGTTGAGGAAGCTACTCTCCATATCAACATCCTAGAATTTTTGGCAGTTTATCGGGTTCTATATCATTTCCTCCCACTCCTGTGGGGGCAGATAGTTCTGGTTCATTCTGACAATTCCACTGTTGTCAGCTATATCACCAAGCAAGGGGGGAACCAAATCCAAATCTCTGTATTTTCAGACTCTGGGCAATGACCATGACATGACAGTCCTGGCATTTCATGTTCCCAGAATTTCGTGGACGATCGCTTATCTCGTCTCAACCAGGTTCTTCCCATGGAGTGGTACCTTCATCCTCAGGTATTTCAGTGGGTGTGTTTTCAACTGGGAACACTGCATATATATATGCATTTGCCACTCACTAGAATGCCAAACTTCCTTCCTTTTGATCTCTAGTTCCACACTCCTCAGTTCCGGAGGTAGAGTCATTCAGTCAAGGTTGGAGGGTGTCTTCACCTACATGCCTAACCTCTGATCAGACTCCTCTCCAGAGTCATTTTCCTTATCCAAATCACTCCTTGTCTTGTTCTGCTGTTTGCTCCATATTGGCCAACTCAGATGTGGTTCCCACTGCTCTGGCCCTTGTCCTTATCTCTGTCTCTACCTCGGGTAGGTATCGTCTTCCTCCTGTGGTGAATCTACAAACAAATGTTTGCATTTGACTGGGGTAAGTCAACATATTATTATATTTCATCATGCTTAGTTGAAATACATCATATTTCAGGATCCCACCTGATGGTGGGTGTTGTCTGTTCAGGTATGCTTAATATTATATTAGCACTAAATATGTATACTTCCATAATGCTCACTGTTGAGATGGGGTGTTTCTGTAAGACCACCGGCTGCTTATCCAGTGGTATGTGTGTATATATTTTTTTATCACTGTTTCATATATAAAGGGCCGTCACTCATGGACTTCATGAGTAAAGCAGATGGGGATTTCTGCTCATACCTACTGACCCATGATTCTTCCAATCAGGGTCTTTCTGCTCTTCAAAATAGGGAATCCCAGATGCCAATTGCACTGTTTCTAGTGTGTCACTCCTATGGACTCCCCAACATATACTGCTCCCCCCCCCTCTCTTCTAGTGAAGCACAGGAGACCTTACCACTTCTGGTTACCAGTTGCAAGAGTGGTAGACCGAATAGGTTTCCTCCTGGGTGGGTTTTGTATAACAAACAAAATTGAACTTTATATATCCACTTGGTGAGAAGGGGGCTATCATCATTATACTCATTGCTGTACTGAACAATGATTATACAATAAAATAATATTCAAGATCAGAGGCGCTTCCCCCGGATGTTTTTTCCTGGGCAGACTGCACTTGTTGATGGGAAATTTCTTATGTAAGGTGCTTCCACTGGATGTTTTTTGCCCTGATGAACCACACTTGGCATTATCCGATGTATCCAAAGGTGCTTCCCTTTGATGTTTCTTGCCTGGGTGGACCTCACTTGGCCTATTAATAAACAATTCACAGACCTTCAGACCTAGCCACATATAGTTATTTCCTTTTTCTCTGGCACCATACTATGGTTTACTATGGTTGGTACTACGGCCTGCTACGTATATGGACAAACTATGACATGTATGTTGACATCGGGCTGGTTATGAAAACCCTAACGATCATACTCATACCTGTAATTTTTTTTTTGCTTAATTCTATGCATCTAAGGTACTTCCCGTGGATGTTTTTTGCCTGGGAGGACTGCACTTGTTGATCTCAATATCTTATACAAGGCATTTCCACTGGATGTTTTGCCCGAATGGACCTCACATGACATACTTTGATGTAATCCAAGGCACTACCCTTGGCACATAATTATACGGTTGTGCTGTCTCTTCCACACTAGACCTTCTTTGTTTGTTAATGCAGTGCTGTATGTTTCTTTCCTGATTGCATTGGTGCCTGCTGATTCAGTTCTGCCACCTTTTTGTTCCTGTGTTAATTACTGGGTGAAGAACATACCTGTTCCAGAAGTAGTACTATACCCCACAGGTGTGCCTTCTTTTCATATTCTTGCACAACTTTTGTTTCAGTGTGGTCACTTTCCACTTGATTGGATATTGGTCCACCTTCACTGGCCCCTCCACCTTTGCAATGTGGGATTCTAGCTTGGGGTGAGTAGAGGTAGTACCGTTTTGGAAGTTAACATTTTATTACACTGAAAATGTATTTCTGATAGGTACTTACCTCCTCTCACCC